AGGGAGGTCACTCTAATTACAATCTGCCTCTGTTGTTTTTCCAAAATTGTAAAAATTGTCTGCATGTTGTCATTAGTCAAAATATTGCCATCTAACCCCTACAGTAAATAGTATTCATAATCAATGTTTTGAATGTGTTATAATTTTCTCTTTCTATCCTCAACTTAAAAATTAAAAACTCATCTTGTAAATGAAATTAAGAACGTCAATAGTAGTTTTCCCCATATGTTGACCCAGTTTATTTTTCTGAAAAGCGATGGTTGCAGTGGGCCCACGTTTTAGGAGGTCAGTAGTAAAATTGTAGCATGTTGAGTGTGAAATGCAGATCCTCTTAGGTTGGATCAGTGCTGATAACAATTTATTAAATGTCGACCAAATTTTTCCCCCTCGTGATACTGTACATGTTGAAATTAACGCGAGCGTGAATTAACTTCACATTGATGTCTCAAAATGACTATCAACAATAAGACAGTGACACTGCACACTTTGGATAGCGGATACTAACTTGAACATAAACACAAACACGGTTTATTGAGCAGCAGTTGTAACAAGTATATAACATTGTCATTCAAAGAATAGGAATTACACAATTGGCTTCTGGTGAGTTATCACTGCTGGGGTCAAGAGTTCTACCCACTTGTGTCAAGCTTGACACCTTCTCCGCATACCAATCAGTGAACTGTTGTTGGTGCAATTATTTTGTTGCCTTTGAACTTCTTAATGCCATTCAACAGAGTAAGCATATAAACTGTGTGTAGTTTTTAGGAAAACACTCTTCTCAGTGCTAATAAGCTGTGCTATTGGATTAAGGTAAGGTTGGATTAAAGTAATTAGGTATGCATCATTCCACTGGTGATTGGGTAGGGCCCCTAGGGGGTGTCGCATTGATATTGAGTCACATTTTTGGCTAGGGGTCAGCAGTCATATTAATTTGGAGATGCATTAATTTCCAGATTTACAGTTTATGGTGATCGAAACATGGGACCACATTTGTGAATTACCAAGCTTCATGTGGTTGTCCTAGTAATGATCAATTCATTTCTAAATTTGCACCCTCTTTTTCCGTCATGGTCATTGCAACAGGAGGGGCCACAAATAGATATCACTTACTGATAACCATTTTCTAAAATGTGGGGCCCATTTTTCTCGTCACATTAGGCGATCAATACAGGAGCTTAAATAATATTGGAATAGGAGTAAGTGGCAACAGCTGCACACTAATCAGATTTAGAGGTGCGCAGGTGAGACAAACTTGTCACAAAAATGAAGTCCTGGGCAAGATGTTACTTTACTGTAACTATGGTTACATATAAATCACAAATGAATGCGATTAAGTTGCTGTCATCCTTAATCCCATGTTTTTCATTTCATGGCCTAAACAGGAGCATGAATAACAAATGTTCCCATTATGTCCAAACTGTTACATCGCTGTTATGTTTTAACTGTTACATGGCTACCAAGGTTACAACAACCATTGTATTTCTATGTATATCACAGTCACAGCTTTAGAATAAAGCTGGCACACCAGGCTTCAGGAAGAGCCTAGACACATGCTGGTAATACTTTCCCAAGACTTTTGACAGCAGAAAGCCACAACCCCTGCTCAGGCTCAGGCAACGTCTGAGGAAATCCATGTTGTCGCCTCCTCAATGACAAAAGTGTGGCTAAACATGCTAAAGCCAGGTTTTAGTTTTTATATATTAAGGCTTCTTTGGACCAGAATAGCTGGATTGAGAGGGATAATAACCCAGACCAGATCAATATTGTTTAAGTCCCGTGAGCTTATTAACATTGTGCTGTGTTTTCCAATGTCCATCCAGTTTGGTTTTGCATTTTTGAGATCTTCTCTGAAACTACAAGGCCTGTGAAGCAAAAATCTTTGTATGAATGATCCCAGGTATAGTGACTCTAAAAAGTGCTCCCTGAATTCCAATCGGATTTCGAACATGGCTACCATAGCAACCATATGTAGAAACCCATTTTGGTGGCTATATAATCAAGGTAGTGTTAGTGTTTACTGGCTGTGTCCTGATAAACAAGGTTCTACTGTTAGTGTAATGTGTTTATATTGTATTATTTAATGTTTACTGGCCATGTCCTGATAAACAAGGTTCTACTGTTTGTGTAGTGTGTTTATATTAGTTAATGTTTACTGGCCATGTCCTGATGCAAAAGGTTCTACTGTTGGTGTAGTTAATGTTTACTGGCCATATCCTGATAAACAAGGTTCTACTGTTAGTGAAGTGTATTTATATTAGTTAGTGTTTACTGGCCATGTCCTGATAAACAAGGTTCTGGTGTTAGTGTCGTGTGTTTATATTCGTGTTTACTGGCCGTGTCCTGATAAACAAGGTTCTACTGTTAGTGTAGTGTGTTTATATTAGTTGATGTTTACTGGCCGTGTCCTGATAAACAAGGTTCTACTGTTAGTGTTGTGTGCTTATATTAGTTAGTGTTTATTGGCCATGTCCTGATAAACAAGGTTCTACTGTTAGTGTCTTGTGTTTATATTTGTTAGTGTTTACTGGCCTTGTCCTGATAAACAAGGTTCTACTGTTAGTGTTGTGTGTTTATATTAGTGTTTACTGGCCATGTCCTGATAAACAAGGTTCTACTGTTAGTGTAGTGTGTTTATATTAGTTAATGTTTACTGGCCATGTCCTGATAAACAAGGTTCTACTGTTAGTGTTGTGTGTTTATATTAGTGTTTACTGGCCATGTCCTGATAAACAAGGTTCTACTGTTAGTGTTGTGTGTTTATATTAGTGTTTACTGGCCATGTCCTGATAAACAAGGTTCTACTGTTAGTGTAGTGTGTTTATATTAGTTAATGTTTACTGGCCATGTCCTGATAAACAAGGTTCTACTGTTAGTGTTGTGTGTTTATATTAGTGTTTACTGGCCATGTCCTGATAAACAAGGTTCTACTGTTAGTGTTGTGTGTTTATATTAGTTGAGGTTTACTGGCCATGTCCTGATAAACAAGGTTCTACTGTTAGTGTAGTGTGTTTATATTAGTTGAGGTTTACTGGCCATGTCTTGATAAACAAGTTTTTGCTCTAGACTGTTGGCATAATTATCACAACCAAACACTTGTGCTACAGTCCAGTGTAGCAAGCTTGAAAATGAAAATGTCAAACAAAATGTGGTCAATAACAAGGTTTATTGTTCTGAACATAAAAAGAAGATGAATAGAGTCCCTAGTTGAATACCTTGTGTATGATTCATCAGTGAAAGGAGATGCAGAGCCTTTCTCCTGGAGCCAGGCAACAGACAGGTCAGAAAATAGGGAAGGTTGACCTACTCTTGTCTACAACAACAGATGACCTGCTAGTGTCCTGTTCAACACAACATGCTATAGAATGTGTAAACCCTGAATATTCAGAACATTTCCTTACTGCTTACTGCTAGAGAAAAAAACACAGCTCAACATAGCATATTTCCAAAATAGAAGAAAAACAAGATAATTATATTTTTTTTAGAATTAAAATATGTATATTTATGCATGTTTTTCTCAAAACATGAACCATGTTGGTTGCAGAATTTTAGGGTGGAGCACTATTTTATTGCTGTGCAATGCATGAATAATTTTATTGACAGATGTTAATATATTTTTAGAGAAATGCTATTTGGTATTCATGAAAACTAATTTAGGACGCAGCGTGTGTTTGATGACTTCTCCTTAGCAGTTGGTGAAGCCAGAAGTAAATCTCATGCTCACTCACTTCAGAAAGTTTACCAAAGGAAAATAATGAGTTGCGAGCAAAGAGTGATTCTTATGGATCCAGTTTTACTGACGGGTCCAAGAATAGTTGCCAAGTTACACGTACCACTGTCATTGGATAATGGTAAACTGCCATGCATATTTCGGTTGATTGCAAGATTTGCAAAGCATGTGTACTGTCAAATTGGCGTCAACAGACAGTTTCCAGATTTTTTCATGTTTTTAATCAAGGTGCTCACATGATTTTATACCCTTCGCGAAGTAGAACCAGTTTTATCACAAAATAGAAATTGATTTTCTACCTGATCGTCTTGACTGAGCCCGGCCATTTTGTTTGAAGCAAATGCAAGTGATATGAGAGGAGGAATCTGATTGGTCAATGGGAAGGACACAGAAGGGACATAACTCGTAGTAGCAACTGGTGGCGCTACGATTGAGCCCATAAATTCTAGCCTAGTTCAGCAAGGGTGGAAACTGGACTTAACAGTCATTTAACTCATATGAAAAGTCAGAAGGAATGGGTGCATAGTCAGAAACAAATGCGAACATTAGTGACTTGTAGTGTAACCATAGAGTTCCAGATAATTTTTGTCATTAAACAATATATCACGTGACAGACCATGGGTTCGGGTAGTCCTGTGGGTACCCAGGTCCTACTCACTACCCACTCGACCAGGGTACTCGAGTTACCCGTCCCAGCCCTAGCGACTATGCTTGACATAAGTGGCGACTAATTGGATCGGGTGGTCAGACTCGCTGACTTGGTTGATGCATGTCATTGTATCCCAAATGTGTGGATCAATGCTCATGATGTCAATCACTGGATTGTCTGTTCGATTATTTACAGACTGACGTCATATAGCAGGAATATTGGAAGAAAAAGTAATATTGATTTTAATTTTAGATTTTGTCCTTTTTGTAAGAACATCATTGAAACTGAATTACATTTTATGCTATCATGTCCATTATATGATGATATCAGACAGAAACACATTCCAAATATATATTGTAAATCTCAGTTATTTAGCATATAAGCTAAGGCAAACTAACTGATTTACTTCAATGCTGAAATATATTAAAGAGTCTATTGTATTACGTTCATCCCATTTGTAATACTTTCTTAATGTTGCACCAATATGTATATTCTATATGTCAATATTTATTTGTACATGGGCCTGTGGCCTTTCTACTGAATAAAGAAATTGAATTGAATATTGCTGTGTGCGTGTCAAACAACAAACAAACAAACAAACATTGCTGCTGTTTTTCTTCCCAGTGGGCCACTGCCATCCCCATGTGGTCAGTGTGGGTCAGGAGCAGATGGGCAAGCTGACCACAAGCGCTGGATTTCTTAATGACCAAATGTCTGAGTATGCCAAACGTCTTATCTCAACATTTCCTGATAAGCTCTGCGTCTGCTTCTTCTTGAATTCAGGGTAGGTAACTCTAATCTGTTATCAAGGGAAACAATATCACTTTTATATCAGACAGTTTGTTCTAGTGTTCCCAGTCCAGATTTTAGAGACAAATGACAAAATTACATGTTTGCTTTTAGTTTTTGAGAAAAGATCATTCTTAAACATGGTCAAATGGGACCTTTAAAAAACAATTAGCAGCCTTTTATATACAGGCATTTGTATGCTAATGGTGACTTATAAGAGCATTTTCTTCTTAATTGACATCCCTCAAACAGCAGTATATTGAGGCCATCCTTAAAAGAATACCAGTACATTTTATTTGCTCATTCCCTAAATATAATAGACAATATGTTACGGATTCATTAAGGTTTGACTGTGTATTTTCATCCCCCCCGGCATTTATTGCAGGTGAATATAGTCAATGCCTTGTCTGTCTGTCTGTCTGTCTGTCTGTCTGTCTGTCCATAATCATTTCGTTTCTGGCATCACTCAAAAACCGTCTAATATTTTTCAACAAAAATTGGCAGATATTTCAAACAGATCATGAAATGGTGCCTTTAGCTATATATGGATTTTTGGCCTTTATATTTTTCTCAATTTCCATGGAAACAATTGTACTTAGCCTCAAAAGAGTGTTTTTGTGACATGTATCTCTCATCAAGTTGGACTTAAAGTAACAGTCAGATGATTTGTTCTTTCGAATTTGTAGGGACCGGGGAGATTTGTCATCTTCTGAGGACTCTTGTTTTTATTTCTTATGAATCGCCGGTTATGATACTGTCCCTGTAACGGTGACTCACTGTACATGTTGCTCTAGTGGACACATAATACCGTATATTATCCACCGGATGAGTGAAAAGTGACAATGTGTTTTTCAGGTCAGAGGCTAATGACTTAGCTCTCCGTCTTGCCAGGTGCTATACAAAACACGAAGATGTTGTATGTTTAGAGAGGTGAGTAATATTGTACTGATATCTTGCCACTAATTTTGCAACCCGTGAAGATCCGGGGTAGAATAGGTCTTCAGCAACCCATGCTTGCTGAAAAAGGCAACTATGCTTCGGCATAAAAGGCGACTAACGGGATCGGGTGGTCAGCCTCGCTGACTTGGTTGATGCATATCATCGTATCCAAATTGTGTGGATCAATGCTCATGATGTCAATCACTGGTTTGTCTGGTCCAGACTCTATTATTTACAGACCGGCGTCATATAGCTGGCATATTGCTGAGTGCAGCATTAAACAACAAACAAATTAAAACTAAATTTGCTCATTGTTTCATGTACTTCTCTCTACGGCCCAGCTACAACAGGTCCCAATTGGACCCAATTATCAAGTCAAGTTACTGCAAAATCTTTTTTCAGGGCCTATCATGGAAACCTAGCTAATCTTCTGGATATCAGCCCTTCTCGCTTCAAGAAGACTGGGCATAAACGGAGAGATTACGTGCACATCGTAAGTAGGCCTGTCATCTACACGTATTTATTTGGTATGTAAACATTAGGGATGGGCATTGGAGGTTCAAAGTGTATTACAATATTTTGCCATGCACAAGGCCGTATTGCGATACGCTATATATATATTCATTCTAAATTTTTAATTCAGAAGCAATCTGATACATTTGAGCATTGACTGTGTATTTGTTTTGCTTCATTGAGGTATGAATCGAAAAACCGATGTGCAAACGTCGCAGATTCTGACAAAAGTTTGCACATCGGTTTTTCGACTCATACCTCAATGAAGCAAAAACAATTCACAGTTAATCCTTATAATTAAATTTGACAATGAAAACATGTGCTATCTACAATAGTTTAACCAAAAACAGTTGCACATATAAAGCAGACACAAATGACGAGATTGATAAACATTCCAGGTGTAGGAATACATATTGTGGCGGAACATGAATCAGGTGATTGTTTGATATATGCACAAAAGTTGACATGCCCACAAAGTCAGTAGCCAATCAACGGAGAGTAGGATCAAAACAAAGTTCATAGGACCTGTCAATCAAGGCAAGAGGCGAGAAGAACTGCAAAAGTCAGACTGTAACAAACCGGAAGAAATATGTCCGGGAGACGGCAGCTGTTTTTAAATGACATGGTCAGTTACTGCCAGATTCAAACATTTGTTCCCTGAGAATGGGAAGACAGTCCAAAAAAGGCAGGTTAGAAATTTGTGGAACCCAGGCGAGCGGGGAAAATACAGGCGAGCGAGCCTTCACATTCTGTAGTAATAAAAGTAGTACACCTCAGTAGGCGTGGCTTAATTTTTAACATTCTTTGGGAAATGAATGCAATAACATGTGACCAATTCAGCTAATCAGAATGCAGGAACTTACAAAAAACACAACGAAAATATGATTATTAAGGTATGAACTGAAGTTTGTAAATGGAACAAAACAGGATGCTGGTACAACATAATGTTTACTCATTCAATAAACACACAGCCATCTTGGGGCCCTGGATGAGTGCTCCGGGGCTGTGAAGGCATTTGGCAAGTATATAACATTAAACACATGATAAAAATCCCAATTTGAAATCACCCGATATATTGAGCATGAAAAAATTATATTGTGATATGTATTGTGGAAAGAATGAACCTCAATTTACTGATATACCGGCAATACCTCACACCCTTATAAATGTTATATCATCATGAATGTTATAAACATTATAAACGTAAATATCATTAACTTTGCATACATTGTAAAAATTGTAAAATTTAATGCTTCTTCATCTCCGAACTGATTGGATAGCTATTTTTAACGTTGTGTCAGTTGCATCTGACATAAAATGAAGCTGTGGTAGGGTATGGGTTCTGGGTATGTTCATCAGAATCATAATAATGGAATGGAGGTATGATACAGTGGACAATTGAGGTGGGAGTACCACTAACTGAAGCAAATACTGTCCAGCAGTTTCAGATCGGTTCATTTTCTAGGACATTGACTGATTGTTAACCAAATTGTCCTGAGGATATTTTTCGATTTTAGTGCTGGAATAGAAGAAAGTAAAAACAAAATTTGCTAAAATCCTAAAAAGTAGACACAATTTAAGGATAACATCAGTAAAATAAAGTTGTTATCAATAAATAGTGTCTACTTTGTTATGGGACATTATTGCAGTAGTGCCATTGTAGCTGGGCGTGGAGTCATCCCACAGATGACATCCTGACGCGGTTAACTTCTTTGGTCATGTGAACAAAGCGTCTGACCTAGGTTCGAATCCCATCAAGGGACTTGGAAATTTTATTGCCACTACATTGGCGCCCAACGTGGGGCTGAGCACGCTAATATTAAATTTGAGCAAAATAAGTCAAGGCTGCGCTGTGACCACCTCTGCAGATGCTATTCCACATTTCGAACTACGCTGTGACGACCTCTGCAGATGCTAGTCCAGATTTCGGGCTGCGGTGTGACCACCTCTGCAGATGCTATTCCACATTTCGGGCTGCGCTGTGACCGCCACTACAGATGCTATTCCACATTTCGGGCTGCGCTGTGACTGCCACTGCAGATGCTATTCCACATTTCGGGCTGCGCTGTGACCGCCACTGCAGATGCTATTCCACATTTCCGGCTGCGCTGTGACCGCCTCTGCAGATGCTATTCCACATTTTGGGCTGCGCTGTGACCGCCTCTGCAGATGCTATTCGACATTTCGGGCTGCGCTGTGACCGCCTCTGCAGATGCTATTCCACATTTCGGGCTGCGCTGTGACCGCCACTGCAGATGCTATTCCACATTTTGGGCTGCGCTGTGACCGCCTCTGCAGATGCTATTCCACATTTCAGGCTGCACTGTGACCGCCACTGCAGATGCTATTCCACATTTCGGGCTGCGCTGTGACCGCCTCTGCAGATGCTATTCCACATTTCGGGCTGCGCTGTGACCGCCACTGCAGATGCTATTCCACATTTCGGGCTGGGCTGTGACCGCCACTGCAGATGCTATTCCACATTTCGGGCTGCGCTGTGACCGCCACTGCAGATGCTATTCCACATTTCGGGCTGGGCTGTGACCGCCACTGCAGATGCTATTCCACATTTCGGGCTGCGCTGTGACCGCCACTGCAGATGCTATTCCACATTTCGGGCTGCGCTGTGACCGCCTCTGCAGATGCTGTTCCACATTTCGGGCTGGGCTGTGACCGCCACTGCAGATGCTATTCCACATTTCGGGCTGCGCTGTGACCGCCTCTGCAGATGCTGTTCCACATTTCGGGCTGCGCTGTGACCGCCACTGCAGATGCTATTCCACATTTCGGGCTGCGCTGTGACCGCCTCTGCAGATGCTGTTCCACATTTCGGGCTGCACTGTGACCGCCTCTGCAGATGCTATTCCACATTTCGGGCTGCGCTGTGACTATCCCTGAACCATGGCAGCTCATTTGTCAGGTTTCCCAGGTATTCCATTCAAAGAATGGCTTCTTTTACATAGAAATGTCACCGGCAGCATCACCCACTCATTAATTGTTTTCTTGCAAAACTGAGCAAGTATTGATTTATGTGAATAGGAATCTATTCTTATGCTTCCAGTCAATTCCAATAGAAACATCAGTAGTAGCAGACACTAGAATAACTGAAGATTGATAACGATGTTCCCTTCTGTCTTTCAAGACATTGCAGACATTGAGAATTAAAAGTGGCTTTGTGGTCATTTAGACCAATGCGGTCAGTTACATGATAAGATTAAGAACCTTGTCTGACCGTGTTCTCGTTTCTTGGACAATGTCAGTGAATGTCACTGGGTTGGCTTCAAGATAGATAAACACATCTATTCCAAGCCACAACCAATTAATCCTGGAATCAGTCTAAAATAGTGCAATTGTTTTATTGAGAGTGGCAATGACTGATAGTCAATAATTTGGGATATGTGACAAGCTTTGTCAATGAACTTGACCCATGTTTTTTTCATAAAGTTTTTGTAAAAATAAAAATAAAATCAACAAATATTCAACAAAACTAACATAAAAAAACCAGCCTGACAATCCGGGTTATAATTGGTCTTCAACAACCCATGCTTGTTGTAAGAGGCGTCAGCGAGCCTGATCAACCTATCCTGTTTGACAAGCATTTTATGTCAAGCATAATTGCCTTTTATGGCAAGCAAGGGTTGCTGAAGACCTAGGTATTCTAACCCGGAGGTAAGGTAAACAGGTAAAGAGGTCAACTATTAAACTGAAAATAGAGAAAGGGACCAATTAAAGTTTACTTGGGGGCCCTTTAACGCAGCATGTTGATGCCGCCAGAACATATAAAAAGATATCCAATTGAAAACAGCTTTTTTGTGTGTAATGAGAGCTGTTTGTGGAGAATTGTTACATGCTGACAATGAGTTCTGATTATTTTACAGCAACACAAAGACATTACCGTGAGCAAGTCACTCCAGAAATAACATGTCAACGAATCCGTACTGAAGGACACAATATAGTCCTGTTTTTATACGTTCTAATCTGGTAATCTAAAATAACAAGATAATAGAATATACTTTTTCTGGTACAATAATAGTTTTAGATACAATTTATTCTGATCATTGCTCATTGCACATGAGAAAGCTCAAATAAACAGTGTTATTAAACTCTTAATTTAGATGGGGGCACAGGTTGCCCAGTCGTCTAAGGCACCACAAATTGCTGTGCCTGAGTTGCATCCCTTGGGCACACCAGAAACCTATGATTGTGGGTTCGAATCCTGGTTCGCCCTGATTGTTTCTTGGTTTGTCAGCACCATACCCGTGCTTGTGGGTTTCACCGAGGTGGTAAACGTCTGAGACCTGCATCACTTCGGGCTTTCCTCCCACATTAAGCTGACACGCCGTCAGTATAACTGGAATACTGTTAAAAGCGGCGTTAAACCCAACTCACTCACTCACTCACTCACTTAATTTAGACAGTCTCACCAAGTTCATCATCATGTGTGATCAGTTTGTTTAGACAAGTTGATCAAGCTCTTATGACAGATGCTTACCGTTTATGACGGTGTCTTTGGTCTTGTCAAATAATCATAAACACTGCTCACCCACGTTGTGAAAATGTCCAGCACAGTGAAAGTGGTCGTAGTGAATTCATAACACTGCTCAATTACGTTCATTGTGATTGGGACTGAAGGGATTGTGCTAACTCGTGTAACAATGCTTGGAAGCTGTACTATCTTTCGAATATTTGTTCCTTTGAATTTCCTGCTTTTCATTTCATAGAAGTTAGATCCAATGTCAAGCAGCTAAAGTTAAAGGGAAACAACACTCCAACTTTGCGTTCGTCATGGATTCAATATTTGCTTTAGGGCTGGGACAGGAAACTCAGGTACTCGGGTCGGGTGGGCCTGAGTAGGGCCCGGGTACCCACAGGACTACCCGGATACCCAGACTACCTGGATACGTGGTTAGTCACGTGATATATTGTTTTATGACAAAAACTCACTATAGCTCAGTGGTTTCACTACAAGTCGCTAATGTT